TTGGCTGCCGCTGCCGCCTTGTCTCTCAAGCTTGTCTCCCTTCATGACTTCGCTTTTGGCTGCCGCTGCCGTCTTGTTTCTCAAGCTTGTCTCCCTTCACAACTTCGCTCTTGGCTGCCGCTGCCGCCTTGTCATTTTCTTGCCTGCCTTTGCGGGGATGCTGTTATAAGATGATTTAGGTCTTGTTTACCTTTTCCATCCTTTTCCCGGCTTGCGTGGGATGTCTCCCAAGCTTGTCTCCCGCTCTTGCCATGCTATCCAACTTTTCTTGAAGTGCTATCTGGGGGGGTCTATGCCGGTATAATTTATGTTTCCCTATTTTTCTGGGGCTGGCCGGATCTCTACTGCTTAGCGGCAGGCCACTGGCAAGGGACCTGTAGCTCTTGTGTTTCGCAGTACGGAGCCAACAGCTGCAATGCAATGCTACAACCCCATTTCAACGCAGCACGAGATGATCTCATGAACACCGGCTTCATTCCGTCACAAGTCATGTTCCCTTTGCATGTGCGGGTCACTCATGTGGCCGGGCCTGAGTTCAACCCGATGCTGATTTGCAACCCGCCGGCCCCAGGAATGGTCACTTCACAGCAAGAAGGCTGAAGAGAGAGACTCAGAGAGAGGCCCCATAATTTTACTGGAGACGCTATTTTACATCTATATAATTAATTCTAATTAGCTACCCAAACTATATGATGCCGGCCGGGGTCAGGAGACTTGTTTGTTGGTCTTTTGGACGTATTTGTGTAGTTGTATGTGTGTGGGTGTGGGTGGGAGGTTTACCGGGATGTGAAGATTCTAGCCGCTAGCCATACCAACATGCAATGCGCGGGCAGTTCCTGCAAGTTTTGTTACATGAGCCGAGGCAAGTCCTCCCGTACCTCAAGTCTTTTTCGCATTGACTGCGTTGCAGACATACTCGGGCAGCCAGGGCAACCAGCCCTATGCAGATTACTCGCAGTATGGCGGGTACAGCCCTGGTTATGACCAGCAAACCAACAGAGGAAGCGTTATCGCACTCTAGCAGCAGCAATAGACCTGGATTTGCAAGTGAACATGGACTTTGTTCATCTCTTTTTCGTTTTTTTGTTGCTCCTTAGTCTGTTGGCTTTGGGAAGGCAATCTGGAGTCAGGCACAAGAAGAGAACCGATGAAACACCCCCTACATGCGCATCCTATTATATATAGTGTAGTATTGATTTGGCCCTGCAGCTTTTGGAGTCCCAGCATCTCTGAGCTTGTGATCAGGGATCGCTGGCATCCACCTTGCTGCTGTGCTGCTGCTGTTGTGGCATTGGAGCATTCTGCTGCATCAAAAAGGGCAAACTGGGAGGGGATTCTTCATCAGATCCTCTTCTCAACTTGCGGCATTTGAAGAAAGACATGACATGAACACTCTCACATCACAATTGTTGAGTGAGCCTCATTGTCGGCACTGAGGACGATGAAAGCCTTGAGCTGTCGCACCATGGCCATCAGCCCAATCCGTACTGGGATCAGGAGATGTTGGTGTCAAAGAGAAGTTTGGCCTGGTGCTGGTGTTTAAAGTGTTGAAGTTGAAGATTGACATATATGTACATATATATATATATAGAGAGTATGTATGTGTGAGAGTGTGTGTGCATTTGAAAAGAGATTGTGAACCCACGTTCGCAAACACACAATTTTATATACACCTGAATGTCACAGAAGGACCAGAGCATAGGACATGTTCTTTGATCCTCAACACGGCTCAACATTTCTCAACCATATCATGATGCCATGATATGCCGTGCGTACGAACACCTAGAGTTATTGGACAACAAGTTGTTGCCCTGCCAGGCGCAACCTCATACCACTATTGGTGGGTCTGGTGGATTTATGGGGACAGCGGCACCAAATGGGAAGCCTTGGTTGGAATACTGCCGCGGAGGGGAACCTGAGATCAGCTCCGGAAACTTCATCGTGGGCCCATGGGGTGAGTGCTTAGCTTGGGCGGTGATCTATGAGCATCAGAACAAGTGGGAGGACGATCCACAGTATGAGAGCCCCAGCAGGATTTTTTGCATGGCCTTTGGATGACACGGAGATGTTTTTGTTCTTGGGGCAGTCAGAAATCAGAAACAAAGATGAACACAGTTTGATGAATGCATTTGTACATGTACTCGACCAGCTTGAGTCGCCAGAATCAAGACTCTTGATCGAATCATCCACTGCCGGTGACTTTGAGCATCGCAAGGAACCTTGGACCAGTTGGAGGCGTTATCAGAGCCATGATGGAGCACGCTTCAGATGACGATGCCGAGGATGTTCAGCATGCAGCTGAAGAGCTTGAGGTTTATTGCGGCTTGGACGGGTTCAGTTCTGCTGTCACATGTTTGTCAGGCAGAATTGCATTCTTTGGATTTGGTTCCTTCACATGTTGAACCCAATCAAAGTACATGGGAAGCCAAAACAAGCAACTCGGCCGCCGCCCAAAGGCCAGCTTTTACGTGACATTCTCTTAAAACTATACCTGGATTCTGGATCGGCGCTTGTGCAGATACATCACCGATGATACATCACATAGATCAAACAATGCAAGATAATGCAAGTCCACATCCGTTCTTTGAATTTTGCTCCCAGTCGGCCAGGTCAAGAGGCGATCCGCCAAGGGAAGCCTCTTCCCGTCATCAACCAAAGGGCCTGACAGACTGAACTGACGGCCAAAAAGCAACCGCTGGCTACCAGAAGAGCCTATTATGAGATTGGTTTGGTTCTGGAATTGTTGCATTCCAACAGCAGGGGAATAGAGGATATGGAGGTGCCACTTCTGCCTACGTACACAAAATGCCTGTAGAGTACTCTATGTCAATGTGGGTTTTAGAATTTTAGAAAGAGGGTGCTGTTGCCGTCTCTCTTTTCGGGAGGTCAATGCAACTGCTGAGAGGCACTGCCCACCTTTGCTTTCCGCAGCCCCGACGCATGAGCACCGATCGTTGCTCCTCCCAGCTCCCTCTTAGTTTGCCCAACATGCAGCATCACAACTTCATGTCCGGAAACTTAAACCGACTCACTGCAACTGATGCGTTTTCGAGCGCAGCGAATCTCAATATTCAAGATGCTTTGGTAGGCATGTAGTTCACAGCTCCTTATACATGCTTGTGCCAGGTAGGAGGTGTGAAACAATGCGCAGACAGCCGAATAAAGAGCTGCACACATTTGCAAGCCACAATTGACCTTCACAGAGCGTACGTTCCATGCCTGCCATGTACGCTGGCCCTGCTGATGGCGATCCACAAAGAGGTCGCAGCTTCATGGGGACACCGTTCCAGCATTTTGGACGGATCAAGATTTGGCGAGTGTTTCGAAATCCGAACGCGCATTTCAATCTGTGTGCAGCATGTCGCTCCGTTCATCTTTTGTTCTGTTGCAAGGCGGTTGCAGTGTGTTTTGTGTCCTTGGAAGGGTCAGAAGGGCCAAAAAGGCGAGGGTCCTTTGCACGCGCCTCCAGAGCAGTGAGCAATACAATTTTGAGAGATACCTGATACCGGCTCAGCAAATCCTTTTGGTGGTGGCTTAATTCGAAAACAGTGGTTCAAGACAATTTGGAATATTTAGGCAGTTTAAGTAGATCACCAGGCACAATGTGGGATTTGGAAGCTCCTATTTTGCAGCATGGCCAGTTTGTTCAAGCCTCCTTCTCAGAAGCATGTTATATAATCCAAAAATTATGAATGGGCGAACAAGCAACAGTGGTGAAGCATGTCTTGCAGCAGGAAAGGCCAGGACATTGGTTTGTCCGCGTTGATCGCTGAAATTGTGCGGCTGCACAGCTTAAAACACAAAGACATACAAAGACCAAGGCCGCATTTTTACCCAGTCAGCTTGTCTATGCTTCACTTTCACATGCTTGGCGTTTTGAAGTGCGCATCAACCCTAAGTGCAGCAGGAACACACGAAGTGCAGCCAGAATAGTAGAAGCAATGCCGTGTCCTCGATAGCAATGGACACTCTTGCGGCCAGAAGGCCCTGGAGTATGAGTGCCCTCTTTGTATGGAGCCTGCTTTGGAGGCGGCTTGGGTGATGAATCAGGATCGTGGAAGGAGCTCGGTTTAGCAGATGTTGCGTCCATCTGAGTAGCTTCTTTTTTTTTTGGGTAGAGATGATGAAAAGAAGATGAAGAGGGAACTCCTTCAGTGCTGCGAACGGCGTAGGCTTTCTGATGCTGGTGGGTTGGCGTAGGCTTGTGAAGGCTGTAGGCGGAGGCACTTACATACATAAGTCGTTTGCGTACCGCCGTTGGGTTTGTGTGTAGGTTGTTTTGGGAGTGCATGTTCTTGAGAAGGCCTTGTCCAAAGTCCAAACATGTTGGGTAGCTGTAGCTAGAAAGTGGGCCACCTCCCTGTTACATTAACCAGAGTAGAACATGAATTTCATGAACCACTAGGCTAGTCACTAGGCCCAAGGACCACGCAGAGAGAGCCAATTGAAAGCTGCACATGCTGCTCTCAAATCCAGCCTGCTGGATCAGTTGACATACGCTTGAGACAACTGCTTTTTGAGACAACCCAGTGTAATGGATAGCACAGTGCAGTGCCGTGAAAGGAATTCCCACTGATCAGCTGCTTCTAGAACCCAAAGTTGGCTTGGTGGTGTGATTGGCAATGAATAGTGGGCTGTTTGCGCTGGGGGGCCTGGCCTGCTGCCTTCCATTGCAAAAGAGCTCTGTTCTTGGTGGTTTTGGTTGTGTGGGGGGGGGGGGGGGAACCAGGGTTCAACCTCGAGTTCATCGTCATTTTTGTGCCCGCGTAGGCAACCTTTTGCATGGCGTAGGCTATGCGTAGGCTGGTGCTTAGGAGCCTTTTGCAATGTACAAGCTCCAAGCACCCAAAAGAAACCTATCCATCTCGAACAAGCCCGTAGATGAAGTTCCTGCCAGGTTGCAGCCTACTTTAGCAGGGTCAGCAGAGCGGCATCCAGCTGCACGCATGCAGCGATGCTTTACTTCTGGCAAGCTGTTGGATCTCACGCTACTGGGCCGATTGTGGTTTCTTTACTCCGGAGGGAGAGGCAACCGATATTACAGACATAACTACCCATCCATTCAGACCATACCACAGGCTGATTCAAGACCTTTTCTGTTGCGCTCAGACGTGCAGTCGTGCCTTCAGGAACGGAAGTATTGGTCTCCCCAATTGTGTGGACAGTTGCGTTCCGCCAGCAGAGAGGAGTGTTCAGGCCTTACGGTGTCGTCATGTACTCGTCCAGTTTCGCTGATTGCAGCGGTGCATCGTTTTGGAACAAACTTCTTGCAGCACTGTTCCACGAACGAATGCTTGGATTGCCACACCGCACCCCCGCACAATGTGTTAGCAGGGGTTTCTAAGCAGCTTGGGCTTGAGCCCTTCCGTGTTCGATCGCTCAAGAATTATCCTACGTAAGCCTGCTCTCACGGCCTTCCCCTCTCACCGCGCCTCCGTCGTCACATGTCCACGGGTCAGGAGTCGGTTTTGTGACATTCTTTTCCTGGACAGGCTGAAGGCCTCGGCTTCTGCATGCTGCCTATTGCCCGCACGGCGGCTGGGTCGAAAGCGGTGGTCGGGTCAGTCGGGAGTCGGGATGATTTAGATTGGTTCTGGATGATTCTGGTGTTCAGATGTGTCATTGTTTTCTCGTGTTATTATTGACATCGTTATCAGTGAAGTGTATGCAGGATCCGCTGTGACCTAGTCATGAACAGGCCGCCTTTGAGATCCTTTGAGTTGCACAATCGCGGGAGAACGGTTTATTGAGATTGGCTCAATACCAGTGATAGTATCAGTATGTTGGGGAGCAGCCCTGAAATCCATAGAAGGCAGCTTTTGATGTCTCCTTCACGCTCGAGCTGCGGAATATTAGCTTCAAGCAGCTTCCTTCCATGGAGCCTTGGTTGCTTTTGGTGGACATCTGCCTGCGTGCACCGCAAACCAGTCGAGCATCTCAGCAGTTGCAGGGTTGGCGGCATTGTGTAGCAAGCGGAATGTCACTTGAATCTTGGGTGCCTTGCAATCATGGCACGGTAGTATGCATTATCATTTTGCAGGGCATGTTGCTTGCGAGCGATGGACACGATGAGGAGCAGCTCCGCTTGGGCGTTCCCATTGCTGTGGGGCAAATTCTGCAAGTGCCTCCTGCTGATGTGCTTGGGGAAGTGTCTCTTGTCTGTTTATATAGCTTAGACTCAGACCAATTGATCAGCCAGGGAAGTGGAACTGCACGGCTCATGTCTGTGACAACCCAGTAGGAATGTCATTTGTTCCAATCTGACAGAGTCAGTTCTTTGTGACAAACTTGCATTCTCAGTCGTTCTCAGTCCCAGGATGGTCCGTGATGCGGGCGCGTATCTGGGCTGAGATCCGAACCTGGGACTGGAGATGTGCACTTGCCGCATCACGGACTTGCCCCTTTAAGGTATGATTCGCATCAACTTCATTCCTTCAAGCTACGGCGCCGGGATGAAGCAGATGAGCCAGGCCCCGTTGCAAGCTGGAAGAGTTTTTGTAGAAATGCAGCGGGCAGGTGCATAAATTAAACCTCTGAAAGTTAGAACAGTTGGTGTGCCCGCTGACATCAACTTACAGAAGGACCTTGAAAAATTATATGTTAAGCATGTTTGCACCCTGACAAAACGACGACTAGTGCTGCTCTTCAAGCTGTCGCTTCTCAATTCTTTGCCGCGGCTGCTTTCAATTTGATTCACGGTTTTTGTGGCAGACCAGGACTCGTGTATGCGTGAAGGGCTCTTAACATGCGTAACCTGTGTGCCATGTGATGGTTGCCATTTCGGACGTTTAAAGATGTTTCAAGGCATGTCTATCTCCCAGCAGTGTGCCTGCCAGGTGATGAACCAACCCAGATTCCGGCCAAGGCGGGCTTTGATCTTCCCAAGGACGGTGACTTTCAAACCTTTTCCCAGCCAGGCTGTCCCACTCAGCAGCAACGAGTCAGCAAAGACTGGCGCAGGCAGGGCATGGCAGGATGGGTATTCATGGGTCATTGTCATAGTTTAGCATGTTGCTCTAACACGTTCTGAGGGGTGTTCTTTAGGAGGTGTGTGGTCAACATACGGGCGTTACCGCGGAAATGATTATAATTGCTATGTCTTTTTATTATCATGATAATTTTGGATACATTATTGAGATAATATTTTTAATTATCGTGATAATTTTGGGTAAATTATCGTGATAATATTGTTTAATTATCATGATAATTTTGGATAAATTATCATGATAATTGTTTTAATTATCGTGATAATTTTGGATAATTATCGTGACACTATGTTTAATTATCGTGATAATTTTGGATATATTATCATGATATGTTTTGGCTAAATTACGGATATTTTTTTGGAAAACATATCGATACAATTTTTTTGAACTATCGACAAAATACTTTTGGACAAAAACTAATCGGGATAATTTGGATGATAGGTTGCTATTGCCGATACATTGGAAACAACTTTAGGTTTGGAATGGTTTGGATAAAGTATCGCCATCATTCTGTGTTTGTTTGCTAATGATCCGAGTTGTTTTTTTTAACTTCTTGAAGAAACAACAGTAACATGATTTTAAGTTGACTATCCTGATCTGATATGTTGAAAATTGCGAGAATTCCGATAAACTAAATTCAAATCATGACACGTTTGATATCAATCGTATGTCAATGATGATTGAACTTCTTGCTGTTGGGACTATTCTTACTTAATTGTCTTCTCAATTCACTATGCAAAGACCTAAGACCACGACCACACACCTCCTAAAGAACACACCTCAGAACCTCCTAAAGAAATCCTTGGAATGTGATAGATAGAGCCACATGCTAACAATTTGGCAGAGTCTCACAATCTGCAAAAAAGCATGTTTTTGCCTTTACAAGTGCTTAGAAATGATGTGTCAACACAAACGCGAAACGAGCGTTGCGTGAATTGAGCAGTTGTACGTTTGCCGTCCTTTTCTGATTGGCTCCTAGCTAATTCCAGAACCTACCAACCATGGGTGATGTGGATCTTTTGTCACTACTTGAAGATGGTGACGTGGAAAACATCCCTGTGCAAGAAGATGAAGACCGCTTGGCACTGATTCCATGCGACTTGGCAGTGGTTCCAGTTCCACGCTCAGAGGGGAATGCTGAGTGTCAAGCTGGAGCACCTAGAGCTAAAGCTGCCAAAGTGCGTGTGCCGTCTATGTCAGGAAAAGTAGGGGGAGGTCGTCATGGAGACTCTAATGAAAAGGCCTTGTTAGCGCTCCACATGCGGCATTGCAAGTCCTTGCGCACACACTCATGTTTTAGAGATGGTGTGTCGACCTTGTTGGACAACAGCACCTTCACCAAAGATGGCAAGATCATTAGTGTACGGGCTCAGTCAACAGCTTCTGGCGTATCCATTGTCCTCCAGCCCAAATCCATGAAGGGGAATAGATATCAGCGCTCGGTTCCTTTTTGCAGCTTTCTGCAGGCTGCGTATGGACAGCTGAGAAGGGATAGTCACATAGCTATTTGTTTGAACGTATCTCGCAGCACTGCGAACTTAATGTCAACAACAGCTGCAGCTGCATACAATGGGCAACAAGTCTCCGTGTTGGCAAGAATTGTGACGATGGCTCAGCAACGTGCGCCACTGAGCTGTATTAGACATGTCAAGTGGGATGAAACCCAGCTCTTGACCGCTATCAATGCCGACAACAGTGACAGGCGAGTGCAATCGAACTGGCAAACCTTGGTGATTCGAGAGCGTTTGATTCTTTGCTGGGCTGATGGTTCTTGCCTGATTCTGCGCTTGGTTCTTCCACCGGTGATCTTGCTGGCTAGTGCAGCACAGGACATTTACTATGCCATGCGGCACCATCCAAGTTACGCTGCCGTCCATGAAATGACAAAGCTTATTGGTGATTTGTCTCAGAACAGATTCGAGGTGTATGAGTCCGACGGGGCTTCCTCAAACCATCGTTTGATTGCTCACATGTTGCAGAAGGTCAAGGAGAGGAAAGATATGAAGCCTTATGTGCTGCACATGACTTGCCAAAATCATGGCACACAGTTGATTACCGTATCAGTCCTTGCAGCTACAGAGCACAACATCTTGAACAGGCTCTATGGCTTGACTGTGTACCTGAGGCAATTGGGACATTGGCTTCGTCTCAAGCAAAGACTTCGCACTTGGCTTGAGCAAAACCTGGAGTTTGTTGAGAGCCATTCGGATCACACAGTGGCGAATCATCCTGCAACTCTGGAATTGGTTGACTTCATTCGAAGCACACGAACAGTAGAGTCTGATCCTGAAGCGAGTCGAGCAAAAGCGTCATTGGAAGCCAAGCTCCAAAAGTTTTTGGACATGTTCAATGGCAACACTGCGCTTCAGGGTCCATGCCACATTTGCGGTCAGTGTCCAAGCGGTGCACATTGCAGAAACAGAGATGACGCTGTTAGGAAGAGTTGTGACACACTTCTGGACTTGTTCATGCATTCCATACCTTCAGTTCCGGCACCAAACAAATGGACGACTCTATATGCATCCCTTGTGCCTGGGTTCTGATTTCGGCAATTCCAATTTGCTACTACCCCAGGCCTTTTTTGGGGGTGGAACTATAAACTAAGACTATGACTGACTATGACTATAACTATGGCTCTGACTATGTAGGCTATAGGCTATAGACTATATAGACTATAGACTATAGTCTATAGTATGAGACAGTATGAGTCTAAACTATAATATGTCTCAATGATTGTTATTATTATTGTTTGCTTTGCTTGTTCGCATTATAAACCAGGTTCAATAACCAACGCTAGTATGAACAGTTGTTCATAGATTCATATCATATCATTCACGGTAATTTTAACATTGAAGCTATGTTTATCAATGACAATAATGGAAACCAAATGGAATCATATCATCTCTCAAACCGCTTCAGAAAATGCACATTGTTTGTTTGGCCTAATCGTGCCAAGGACTTCTGCGTGGCAGGATGCCTTGTACATGGATTCCTTCAGCAGGTCTTTCGTTCATCATTTGAGGAACAGCTCTTCAAAGAATTTGATCGTGATCTGGACGAGACAGCAAAATCAGCAGATCCACGTATTGTTGAAACACTGGCATTCCATTCGGTCAACAGCTCAAGGCTGCGGCATTCCATTCAATTTTTGGAATCAAATGAATGTCAGTGGTCACTTCTACTGTTGAGTGTGGCATTGGAGCCCAATAGATCATTGACCTGGTACTTCTTGTCATGCATCGGCAAAAGCTTGAAAGAAGGTGAGCGACCACCTTTGTTTCAATTGCTTGATCCAAGAAGCAGCATAGTCTACCAGGTGCTACAGCACTTCAGCTCATTGTTGTTGAGTTCTCATGGTGATGGGCGTTTGAATTTGCTTTGGCACTCTGGAAATTATCATGATTTTCAAGCATTCTGCCATTCTGAGGTGAGCAAGTGCCGAAAGATTCGCCGAATATTGTTACTCGAAGCAGCATGGGTATATCGAAGACATTTTCAGTACTTGAACAGTGACCCGTTTGCTTTGACAATGTGCGGAGATGACAATGCTCACCCAGAAACTTTGAAGAGTGTTCTTGAATTCTGGGATGTCAAAAGTCACTGTTGCTTGCAGCCTGGCCTGTGTCGGGACCTAAAACGCAAAGGTTTGACTTCGAAAGACTTGATGAGTGGCAAGTATAAGACCATGCTTTATTGGACAGCTTCAACCTTTCAGTGTTCGATTGCCGACGTTGAATCCATGCACAGCCAAAATCGCATCTTTGCTGGCAACGCATTTTCGAACATTGCGGCCAAGTTTGTCAATGCTGAATCCAAAAGGATTGAAGAAG